TCCCAAATAGCTCTAAAACACTTCCAATTTTAATAAAGGAATATCAGTACATAATTGTAAAAGTTTCAGTCTTTCTTCTCTCACTTAAAAAAACATTTAATAAAGTTTTTTGACTGTGTTCTATTTAGAAATAAAAACATATTTAGAAATTATATATGTATATTTTTTAAATTTTATTCGTCTCAACACATTACGGAAAAATTACAATATTTGTTTCTTCCAAATAATAAAATTTTTTTTATCAGATTGCTATATAAATCAGAATTGTAGAAATTAAAATTTTTTCATATTTATCTCGTCAACAAGCATTGTAGGGAAAAATTTGTTTGTTTTATACATACTCATTATTTTTTGTAAGTTCTGAGTTGTCTGTGACCTCGCAAGTTTATTTTTATACACCCTGTATTATACCTTCATTTCTATTCATAATGTTGAGCGATATTTTCCAAAGGTCACCATTTCAGTTGAAAAAAAAGATAATAAAATACATTTCATATTTTCTTCATTCTGGAAATTATGAACAGTCAAATCTCATCGAATTCATGATATTTAATGATCCTCCAAGAAGTAGTGGCGTTTCTTGACTTCCATACCAGGGAGGGCGGAAATTTTTAGGTACAAAGTATTGAAAAAATAATCAAATTTAATTGGGTATATTGGGATATATTTTAAATACTATTGAAATATAGAGGTAATATTTATTTTTATTTCTAAAATTCTTACAAATCTAAGTACATATACAGTGATTCGACAAAGTTTTAGCCAAGAAGACATTCGCAACATGTGATTACGTAATTGATTATCTTCGGCAATTATTACAGGAAAAACAACGGAGATTTTTTCTTCAAGAGTGTTTGTTTTATTTTCTATCATGTGTTGAATTGGCCATTGGTCCGTGTCTAGTTGAAGCCAACAAGACCGCCAAAACCAACTAGAATGTGCCAGTAATTGTGCAGGAGTTAATCCACGAGAAAGACAATCGGCTATATTGTTTTTATTATCTACATGAAATCAAATAGCTTTTGGATAATTGAATAGACACCCTATTAGCGACAAAACTATAATATTTTTTAAATGATTTATTTGAGTAATTTATACTTTCAAAAAATTTTTGACGGTGCAGTATTATACCTTCCTCGGTCCGGACCTGGACCGCGGTCCGCCAATTGCCGACCGCTGCCTTAGAGGGTCCCATATGCGAACTAATGTTGATAAAATATTTCTTTTTGTACAAATTTTACTCAAGATATTTACAACAAATGAAAATCTATGGTTCCCACTGTAACTCCAAAACTTTTAATGAAAAATTAATTTCTGAATCAGTAAATTGTACCGTTTTATTTAAACGAATATTTTCAGGAATTTTTTCTAATAAATTATGCGAATTGGTTACCCATTTAACTATGTCAAATCCTCCTGCCGAGAACAACCCGAGTAACTGACAAAGTTCTATAGTTTGTACTGCTGAAGGTGTGCATTCTACTATATCATCTATATACAACTCCGCATCAACAACTTTAGCAGCTAAAGGATAAGAATGCGGTTCGTCTCTAGCCAGTTGATTAACTGTTCTTAAAGCTGCAAATGGTGATGATGTACCGAATACGACAGTTGTTAATTCATATACAGGGTGTCCGGAAAGGTCTTGTAAAAAATGAAGAGGTATACAGGGGAGCTCAAAATACTTGTAGTACTTAATAAGAAATTTTTTCCTATCGGACTTCGTTGTGGAGTTATTCGCCTTCAAAGAAAGAAGTTTGAAAACAAATTTCAATTATAACTTCTAAGTCGTTACCATGACAACAATGAAATTTGGGCAATTAAAGTAACTTATGATATTGTTCATTTCCAAGTTTAAACTGATATTCAATATGCCTGGATTACACAGGAGCAGACGAAATTATCCATTTAAATTTAGACATCTTTGACAGCGTTGCCATATTTGGCATTTTTCTTTCATAGTTCGATTCCTCTCTCAATTTGATAAAAAAAAGGTAAACCATATATCAACCGATATCTTGTACCGTTTTTGAGAAAATCGAATTTTATTAACAACATACAAATATTGCATCAAAAATGTGATTTTAACATTTTTGCAAAAATCTTGGAAATTGAGATGATGTCAATAAGTATGTATTATTAGCAGTTAGATTTTTGTCATAAATAATTATGACGCCATTTGTTAATTCAATATCATGGAGGATTTTAGCTATGCAGAATCTGAAGCTGTTCAGATTTACGCTTTCCAAATAGAATTTGCATATTTCAAGTGACGAAAACCCCTATGCTATTATGCTGACAAAACACTAAAAAAAAAAATTATCGTTAATGTATGGATGGGAATAATTGGAAACTACTTAGTGGGATCACATATCATTGATGATATTTTAAATATTTGAAATAACGTGGCTTATGCCCGATGGTCCCATTTTAGCAGGGCAGTAAGGGCTTATTTAAATACCACATTTTCGGATAGATGGTAGTCCTTTTCCGTGGCTGGCTCGATCTCCAGATCTTAATCCTCTCGATTTTTTTTGGGGTCATCTTAAAAGGGTACAATATATTGACTGATATACGGTATACCTTTTTTTTAGCAAATTGGGGGAGGAATCGAACTATGAAAGAAAAATGACAAAGGCAACGTTGGCGCTGTCAAAGATGTATAAATTTTGAATGGATAATTTCGTCTGCTCCTCTATAATCCAGGCATATTGAACATCGGTTTAAACTTGGAAGTGAACATTACCATGAGTTACTTCAATTGCCCAAATTTCATTTTTGTCATGGTAACGACTTAGAAGTTATCATTGAAATTTGTTTTCAAACTTCTTTCTTTGAAGGCGAATAACTCCACAACGAAGCCCGATAGGAAATTTTTTTTATGAAACTACAACTATTTTGAACTCCCCTTATTTTTGATATGTCCTTTCCGGACACCCTGTATATTAAAATAAAGAACAAAACTAACTAAATAAAGCAACTCACCAAAATGTGATGCAATTGACCTTTCTTACTGTCGAGGACAAAAGGAAAGGGATAACGAGAATGTACTCGACAAACTTCTACCTAGGGTTCACTCACAATAGTATATTGTGCAATAAGTGCGGTAAGTTGTCTTTGTCACTTTTTAAAAATAATATTTTTATTACTCATGACGTATAAGTCCTATTTTTTCTCATGTTTTTTAGGTAGGTAACTAGCTGTGCGGTAATATTACTTGTCGCACGCGAATTGCCAATAAAGCACGCAAAATTTAAATACTTACACACTCGAAAATGTTATTTTTAAAAAGTGACATTTAAATGACAGTTATTTATGTCAACTTAAACTGAATAAAAATTTGTGGACCTCACCGGGGCTTTGCCCCTGGACTCTAAGATGCATTTGTAATAAAAAATAGTTTGTGCAATTCGTGCGGTTGTCTATTGCCCACTTGAGCGGATGAGCGCACTCACTTCGTTCGTGCGTTCAACTCCGCTCTCGTGGGCAATAGACAACTTACCGCACTTATTACACAATATACTATTTCGAGTGTGTAAGTATTTAAATTTTGCGTGTTTTATTGGCAATTCGCGTGCGATAAGTAATAATACCGCACGCAATTAGAGTGGGCAAACAGCTAGTTACCGACCTAAAAAACATGCGAAAAGATATGACTTACCCGTTATGAGTAATAAAAATCAATTACACAAGATTTATGAATTATTCCAATAATAATAATAATAATAATAATAATAATAATAATAATAATATTTATTAATCCATTTAGACATTTACATGTATAGGACAGGTCATAAATCAAGACAAACAAACAGATAATACATACATAGTTAGAGATTGTCATCGGTAAAATCTTTAATAGTGTAATAGCACTTGATCAGTAACAATTTTCTAATTGAAACCTTAAATTTATTAATATCCATTATCTTATATAGTGTCGGTAATTTATTATAAAATTTTATTCCTTGATAGTAATATAGCGAAATACACAACAAAACGTTATGCATGCGTGAATCGAACTATCTACTACTATATTAAAAAATAAATATAAAAAATATTCTACAAAAACCGGTGGCCGAATGGCAGCAGTTCGACAGGATATATTTTTTACATATACCGGGCGTATTCATCTAGTGAGGGCGGCGCCCCAGAGCACCCCCGCACCAGCCGCCACTGCCAATAAGAGTAATCACATAAAAAATAAGGATATAGAAAAACAAGATTTGAAGATGTAGAACTACATTTACAAATAAATAAGAGCAAATTTGATTAGTAGTGGATGTACTTTCGCCATTTCTGTGAATGCAATTACCTTGGTTACTATGTCAAAATGTAACCAAATTTTATTTTAATCAGGCAGTGTTTTAGAGTTATTCGGAAAATTGTAAAGTTTTTTTGTCAATTTTATTACCTTCTAGCTGTTAAACGAATTTCTTTGGAAGAGGTAAGTTTAGCTAAATCGTTTTATTTTGATCCCAACAATAGTTCCGTGTATTGGGATATTCTGTATATTATAAAGAGTGAGTTACCTGCTGGTTTCTTTTTGAAATTGCTATTTAATTATCATTGAGCACTTTGCAATGATTGTAAACTTTAGTAAAGAGTTTTTTTACAATACATTGTCAACTGTTTATGGTTGTAATTGGGGTTGCTCCGCATCAGCCGATCTTTGTGGAACCTGATGTTAACCTAGAGTCGCCACGCTCGCGTCGTAAACGTTTTTTAGGAAATTCGAGTGGGCGACCTCGTACCGTCGCCGTCGCCGTCGTCAATCGGGGCGCCTAATACAGCACTTGCCTCATTCCAAAAGTTGATAGTAACCGAGTTACAGGGTGTCAAAGTCAAAATTTTAATTTTTAATGTATTTAAATAACCTTCGAAGTAATTGTTGTATTTATACGATATTGGTATTCCGGGGTTTTTTGACATTGAAAATTCAAATTCTCCTACTCCGACTACTACTCCGACTACTCCCACTACTCCCACTACTCCTACTCCGACTACTCCCACTCCCGCTCCCACTCCGACTCCTCCCACTCTCGCTCCCACTCCGACTCCTCCCACTCCCACTCCTCCCACTCCGACTCCTCCCACTCCGACTCCTCCCACTCCGACTCCTCCCACTCCCACTCCTCCCACTCCTCCTACTCTTACTCCTCCTACTCCTCCTCCTACTCCTCCTACTCCTACCCCTCCTCCTACTCCTACTCCTCCTCCCCCTCCCCATCTCCC